TTACAAACCGCTTAACTTCACCGGTTAGCTAATTTTTTTTATATTATCCTAATTTTTTTAATGATATATTATTTCTTTTTTCTATCCAAAATTTTCTTGCATTTTGTGTCATCAAAATAATTTTTGCAAAACGTATTCTTTATTAGTTGCACAGAGGTAGAGTGTTTTTAAAACAATCAATTTTGGAGGCTGCATTGGAGATTCAAACAGTTTCTAATAATGACATAAATACTTTGTAGTAATGATTAAGATAAGTAGAATTTGACATCAAACTCCATAGAGCACATAACATAACCAAAATCTATAGAGTACCTAACTCATATTGACATTACTATCATAAAATTCGAATTCGAAACATCAAATAATGGCTTTAATTTATACTAGTCTAAGAAAAAAGTGGACATTCTACACTCAAAATTCTTTGCATTTGCATATGAGGTTCAATTAGGTTGAGGAGACTCCGAGTCTTGTATTTTCACTTTTGAGCTCGGCTTGATAATCGAATCGAGCTATTTGAATTCAAATCGATTTTGGTCATCGCAAGCAAGCAGAATTGATCCATTTATAGCAATAAGATCATTAAAAAATGATCAATATATTCTGTTTGAGTTTAATGTCTAAAACCACTCATTTACAAATTAATGGTGGTTTATAAAATCTTTTCTACACAATAGAGAACATTATTCTTGGCTTAATGGCTTTTTGACTCCTATTTAAATTATAGTTATTATGGTGTCAGTTTGGATTGAAACAAATTTTGGGGCATAGGTCCGTAAAGATGAATATTTCGCATAAAACACACTACAAATATAGTTTATGAACCTTCATTGAGAGGAGAAGGCTGTGGTTAATCTGTTAGTCTAATCAGAATTTTATATATATATTGTAAATGGGAAATCTCGAACCCGACTTTTATATAATTATTGGATGGAAGCATCCTTCAAATCTCCATTTTGTCTTTAACGGTTGTGGGGTGTAATTTGGAATGTAAAAATTATACTAATGACTTCGTAGGAGTCAAAGTTGATTTGAATTGGATTTTCTAATTATAAAATATTAAGAAATCGGAAAGTATAAATATATAAATTTAGACATCATATTATCCAATCTTAATAAAGGTAGAAAAATTTTCTGTTACATATCGTTGTGTATTCTTTCAAGTCATTTTTAGGGTCTGTTTGGTTGGACTGAAGGGAAAATATTTTTCATCGAAGTTATTTTCCTGAAAAATCACTTCCTTCCCCACAATTTTCCAGTGTTTGGTTATTAAGTGAAAATATTTTCCAAATTCCCTTTTTCATAATTTTCCAGTGTTTAGTTTGTCAATAAAAATATTTTCTGATATGTTTGTTGATATGTTGCAAATATTTTTCTACTCTCAAAACATTCATTTCATTACAAGTTAATTTTAGTTTCTATCCATTATAATCATATTATCATTTCTATAAAATATTTATTCATATTACACCATGAATTCTTAAATGGAATTATTAATGATACTAATGAATTGGCTGGGAAAGAAGAGTTAAAAATCAAACGAAAACCTAGCTGAACACTATTCTTTATTGGTATGGTATCATGTCATTATGTTGTTCCTTTGAAAAGGGAGAAGAACCTAAATGCAGAGAATCCTATATTGGAATATAAACCAAGATTTTAGCTCCAGAATAAAAAACCTTACTCATGGTACAGAATTAGAACCATTGGTACATACAACCACCCTAATCAAGCCTAGACTCTAGAGTGACTCAAATCCCTGCTTTAAATGTTATCGGCCTCAGTTGGATAAAAAATCTGGAACAATTTAATACATACAGAAGCAAATATAAGCCAAAATATAAAATATTGCTCAACAAAAACGAAAATCATATCTCAAATGGAAAATGGTCCCAAAAATATCAGTTGCCCAGGTAGTAAATCATGGATACAAAAGGAAACATCTGTACAACACGTCACCAATGTTCATGTGAACGTTTTACAAGAAAAAACTTAGTGACCCGAGCTTTGAACAAATCCAGTTGACCTGCAGCTACAAATTCCCCAGGCCACAGTAGGTGGCAAGGTACTCAGTCAGCCCTCCTTTTTTCCACTTCTAGATCACTTCCAAGATTCAATGGTGCTGAAACACAACAGGAAAAATAAACATCTTAATACGTGATAGGATCTAGTTCTTTCTTAACTAACCGATGCTTTGTTTTTATTTTAACCTGCAACATGCGTTGATAACTCAGCAATGACACAATGGACATTGTGAATAGCCAGTAAATAAACCCTCTACAAGGATTTATTATCCATTCATTAATAATAAAAGTTCTCTGCGTACTGATTTTCAAACGATAATAGTTCTCTGTGCATAGTTTAAGCCATTCCAACTGGAAGATGGAATCCTCATCATTCCGCAATTCACACTGGTAGGATTTCCTTAAAAGTATCGATGAGGAAGCAGCCATCTAGGCACATCATTTCCACAAATTCGTCATTACTTGGACTGATTTTTTCTGCATAACACCTTCGAGTGCGCTCTTCAAGCTGTGACGAGGCTACAATGTATCATTCCACACTTGACTCGCCTCTTTGAAGAAGAAGCCCTTGCAAATACCTCAGCTTATGCTTTTCCATTTTTGGTAATTTACTTTTAGCATGATGATAAGGTCCAATAGCAACAATTTCTGGTTCGTATGCCTGAGGGTTGTGCCTCCGTAGCCCGTCATGGACTCTGAATATACATTGCTCATTTGATGTTTCTGATATCTGAGAAAGCTTTCGATCGAGACCAGTAGAAATAAATTTTAGCATTTCTCCGGGCACCCTCTTTGGAGAATAAAATGCTGCACGGAAAGATTAACAAAATCAGTCTAATTAAGTTGATTAGCAACTGCTTGAACCAGGTTTATACTGATTTCCGAGTGCTGATTCTGACTTTTAAAAGTTTTTGTCGTTTGAAGCTAGTCATCATGGAAAGTTAGGTAAGGGCTGAAAACAAATCAATGTCACCAGCCCGTATTGCTGGGAGGGATACATAATCTTGGCTATTCTATTGTCTTGTTCAGGCATTTGTCTTCCAATCTCATTCAATTGATCTAGTTAGAAATTGTACAAGTTTAGCCACATATATGCAATTATCCTAGAAGATAAAAGAGGAAAAGTAAACGGAATCAAAGACAAGCAAAGGCTACTAAACAAAAAGTATCAGACATATTTTCTGAGAAATAGATGAAATGCTTCAAAAAGACCTAAGGGGTTTATTGGCAGTAGGAATCTTGGATGCATACAGAAGAAAGAATATATCAACAACACTCTCACTCAGTACAACTTTTAGTAGTATGGAATGGTGGAATGGTTATATACCAAGTTAGATATAAAATTCAGTTATAGGACAATATGAACTAATATGACTCAATTCAAAGAAGAAATTTTTTTCAACTAGCTCGCTACTAAGATTTCCAATATATTTCACAACAGGGAAATACTTGAAAAATTTACCTGGGCAAGAGGAGAGTCTAACGTGTAGCAATCTTGATCAGAAATAGAGACAAAAAGCTGGAGAAAGCACGTGGAAGTTGTATCAAGCTATTAGTCCTTTGGGATGGGAAGCTCGTAGGTAGTCCAATTTATACTATTATTATTATTATTTTTATTTTTGTAAGACCACATTATACCAGCCATGTTGTCACCTTTTGGATATATTAGTCTAGTGGCATACGTCTAACTTTATATAGGAAAAGATAGCAAAAATTACAAAAAGAAAATTAAAGAGTGGTTTATTGACACCTTTGCTTTTGTCTTATAGTCGATGAAGAATAATTTCTTTTTTTTTTTTTGGTATACCAATTTAAATAGTTGAAAAATAACTTAATTAATAATTTAGCCCCTTTGTTCTTTTCTCCAATAGTCCAATGTATAAAAACCTATAGAAAGTTACTTTGAACTTTTTAATGTACTCAGCAGAAGATAATCTGTACTTCAAGATGTTCATTTAGATAGGATCTACAAATTCTTAAACATTTTAATTTTCTAGAATTTTGAGATATGAGTTCATAGCTGTTCTTTTCCACTAAACTTTAGATGGCTAGCAATTTTTCCTTTGTGGAGGGAAAATAGTGAGCGACTGAGCGTAATAAAGAGAAGAAGAGAAGAGAAGAGAACAACCAATGTTTAAGCCCTCTATTGCTTTAAAAAAGTAGACATGTCTCAGCCCTTCATTCCTTAGCAAATGCTGTGCTTCGCGAAGTGACAAACATGAGAAAAAGGTCGGAACGTTGGAGACAACATTTCTTAGATAAAGCCTTCACATTTACAACCAAGAACTACTTAAAATTTACATATGTACTTAATTTTGGTACCAGCAAGCATGACAGATTTGCTTATTGTACTGCTTCTTTTTTTTTTTTTCCTTTTTTCTTTCAGTCTTTATGCCTTACTTAGCATTCTAGCCAATGTGGATGCAGTGGCTAATTAGATAAGATTTCGGGAACCATAAGTAACAAGCAATTCATGTTTATAACTATTTTCCCAATAAAGTGTTCTTCCGAGTTTTCTTTGTTTGAAAATCAACCGGGCCTTTTCTCTGTTCTCTTCTTTAAATCACAGGAATAACAATTAGATCCTGTAGAACTATATGTTTTCAGTACACTTATTTTGTTAGCATTTCAATCAACTGGTATCTAACTGCTATTATATATGATAGTATGCCAAGGATTTTTTGACAGATGAATGCTAAAGCTTCATTTTTTTAATTCTTTCTTTGCAGTTTGCTTAAAATCTTGTGTACTTAATTTTCGTGCTTCATTGAGTTCTCATCGTCAGCCTTTGCATGCATTTAGTAGTACTCTCACTAAGATCGGACCGGTGCCATGTAACACTCAAAGTTAGCCTCGTACTGTGGTTATACTTGACACAGACATATAGATACATGTGTAGACAGATATCCATGTTCATAAAAATTGTCAGGTTGACGGGGCATTGCTATTTTAATGTTCAGTAGTAGATCATAATACAGAAGAGATCATGTTCATTATTAGCAGAACATGCATTTAGGAGTTCATGTAATATCCAAGACAGGAAAGTTCTTTTACATCAAGAATTTTTTATCAATCGGAACACAAATAAAATGACGTTGTTGGTATTTAAGTACAATGACTAACAAATTACAAACAAGCACAACTAGCTCACTTTAATTTTCATAACGATTGCAGCCAGACGTGAAATGATTGACCACGGGGTATGAAAATATTTCTGCATGAGGTATGCCCTAAGGATGCGGTAGCGGTAGTACTTCTCCATTTCCACAAAAATTTCGTCGTAACAGAAAGGAACTTCATTAGAAACACCACTGCTTAACTTGTTGAACACTACAGAGACTGCTTTATCATTGCCTAACCCATGCCTGATGATGTCACTGTTGCGAAGCTTTTCAACGTCGGACGGGGAATCTATGAGAAGATCCATGAAGCTTATGTAATCAGTTACATACCTCCGTGTCTCAAATGGCTTAGACATATACTGTTCGTATGCAATCAAGTTTCTGAAGATGGATTCTGTATGATCATCCACAAACAAAGGAGGGATTTTAACTACACCATTTTTGAAAGTGATATGGAGCAAGGATTCACTGTTTATTGCCCTCTTGAACTTGGTTCCAATATGTACTAGCTCAATAACTGGTTTCTGCAATAAGGTTTTAGTCGGTTCATGTTTGAGATCCCTAAATGTGTTGGAAAATGAGGCAGTGAAATTTTTGTGCATGAGGTCAAGAAGATGAACAGCCTTATAACCTGCAGGGATTGTAGAATGAGAACTTTGACCTGGATAAGAACCAGGCACGAGCGAAGACAGATGGCGAATAGCTAGGTCATTAAGGTTCTCTTCTTCGCCCCGCAACTTGGTCATATCAAACAGTTTTTGCAGGACAACAAAGGGCAACTGATTCTCAAATAATATTAGGTCTCTCTTAGTGGCTGATATTAGCCAAGACATCTGAAAAATGGGATCATTCTCGCTGTATAATTTAGGCTGACAAAGTTTCCTCAAGAACTCAATGACAAAGCAGCCATCAAGGCATAGCATTTCAACAAAATCACCATCTGAAAGATTGATTTCGTCTGCGTAAGAAGTTTTTGTGACGGCCCCACTTCTCCCCAAGGCGAACCAAGGGGTATCCGCGGAACGCCTGCCCAGCTCTCGCCAGGACTCACGCAAGAAATCTAGCCACAACCCTCCGAAGTATAATCTAGACTATTACACCCTCATTTCTTCCTAAATAGATCGATTACTAAACCACATTAACTTCGGAGATAGCAGTACTAAAAGATAACCAATCGTCGATTCTCAAAATACCTTCTCGATTACAAACCAAGTCTAAAGTCACACCATCCCAAACATACAAGTTCATACAACACCAATACGTACATACAAACCGAATGTATGAATCAGGGATTGCACCTTTCCAGCTTCAAGTGGCAATCCAAAGTCTTAAGTACACCTAGCTTAACATATCTCCAATCCGATACATGGCATAAGTAACATTAGACATTACAAACCACAAAGCGAAGTCATAGATTTCATTTACATCCATAAGAAAATCTAAGTAAATTGTAAAGCTCTCAATTTCCAGAACCTGTCAAGGAAAACAAATATACACGGTGAGCCAATCGCTCGTGAGGCCAAGAAAACACACATGCACGAACGTTGTTCAAGTAGAACAATAAGGTTCAAGTAATTTACAATTCAAGCGAGGCAAGTAAACAGAAACAATTCAAGGATATAGGAGCTCTCAGGAGCTATTTTCCACTTGCTTCGCCACGGCTCGATCCGATACCCCCTCACAATGACCCTCCGTCATCCGGGTGGGTATTATATCCGTAGAAACTTCACTTATTACTTCCTCCGGCCAACGTTCCACCCTCTCGGATCCGTAACCAAACACGCACGAAAAGGGCGATACTCGTTGAGTATGCCGAACGAGACCTCAAGAGATCAAGTTTTGATTTTTGAACACGCACGAAAAGGGCGATACTCCACGAGTATGCCGAACAAGATCTCAAAAGATCAAGTTATGTTTTGTTGTTCCCTTGGCTTATCAAGCTTCTCGACCAAACCCATGCCGGCTCGAGTTGCAAGATTGGCTAAGAGAATTTGGGCGTCCCCATAAGTCGAGGAGTTTCACTCCACCCGACAACACGTCACGCACGGCAAACACAACACGCACGACAACACGACATATACACGAAAACGGGTATATTTTAGCCGACGAGGTTCACTCAAATCGACTTCGAAAACCAAGTTAATACAAGTAAAGTTCAAGTAAAGGAGAGCGAGTGCGATAAAGTACACACTCGTCCCATCAAGTGATATTCACGTATATAAGCAGGTAAATCAAGTAAACACGACAAGTCATGCACTTGACACTCACAATTCAAGAGTAATTGAGCGAGAGAATCGTTAGTTGTCCTCTCCGGGATTCTCTTCAAGACTAGCTTGAGCACCTGAAGCAATTGACAAGTATTTTTCACTCATAATCACGCATTAATCAAGGAAGAAGTTACACTCATCTAGACTTGTCACTACCTCAAATCAAGAACCTTAGCCACTAAAAATAAAGGTTCAAAAGTGAGGTTTTATTAACACAAGGAAAAAAATAATTTCCTTCATGGAATCAAGTTTAAAATGACCAATTATCATCAAGAAGGAATAACGGGTTTTCAAAATTTCATTTTCTAAGAAATCGGCAAATTTCAGCTTTGCACGTCAAACTTAGAAAAATTAGGTCTTGCATTCAGTAGGTCCAAAATTGAAAAACTTGGTACCATTAGAAACTACTTCAGAGTACTAAAAGTTCCTAGAAGACACTTTTCCACGAGTGTAAGTGAAAGGCACTCAAATTTTCGACTCAAAGTTGGTAACTTGAATTACCAAAACAGATTTAAGTTGGTTTTTGGCCAACTTTGGAAGTTCGGCAAAATTCACTTGTTTGGAACTAGCTTTTGAAATTTGGTACTCTTTTAGAGTCGCAATCCAAGAGTATAACAGAACAAACGGAACGAGAAGCGGAGTTTTGAATATTAAGATATGGCAACTCAAGGTTACCAAGATTCCCTTGTGAAACATGGGTTTTTCAAGCTCGAGTCATGAACTTTGGTAATTTATTTGACCCATGAAACGGTCTCGGAATAACACCAAAATTAGCAGTATAATACTACTATATAAGGGTTGTCCCTCTACCAAATTTCATAGGAAAATATGCAAGGGAAGTCACTTAACAAAATCACCCAAGTTTCCAAAATTTTAAGGCAAAGCTGCCTTGTATGTGAAAATTTCCTTTTCTAAACTTTTGACCAAGGAAAATCCTCTAAACATGATTCATTTGCATAGAAAAGATTTAAGGGTCATCCCAGAACAACATTTGTGGTGATTAACACCAAGAGTTTTAATTTGCAAGTCTATACCGAGCCTTGCATCAAATCTGTCTAAAAATCAGGGTTTTCAAGGACAGAGCAGGTTTCCTATTTTGATCATAGATCACTCAAATTAACTAGGAATTTGGCATGGTTTATGGCGTTGGAAAAAAAATTCATAGAGCTATAATTTCACAGAAGAAATCACTTTGAAATTCGGCACACAACTAGCTCGAATTCGAGCCACAAGTTGCAGCCTCATCATTTTGTTCTTGTAAAACAGAGAAACAGGACAGCCGATTTAAAATGGTTGGTTCGGCTCACACACATGGAACCAGAATGTACATTTTATACCGTCGGAAAGGTTGGAATGTCTAGTTTCAAATGCCGCTGACGGCACTTAATTTCGACATCGGAGCACAGAATTATAGCCGAAATACGAAAGCGGGTCAGAGTATTACGGAAACAGTTCCAGATTTACTAGCTTTGTGAAATCATTTTATTTGACCAACCAAATCTCAATATTTTTCAATGAAACTTTGTACACCACATATTCAACATATAAACATAATATACGAGTCATGAAACCCTCAAAATTCTACAAAAATGGGTGTGATTAAAACAGGGCAAAACTGAACATTTTTGAACTATGCATCCCTTGAAGTCTAGAGTAGCTAGGTATCATTAATCTATTTATTTAGACACTAAACTAGCATTATATCCATCATCAATCATTTTATCAGCCATCAATCCAAGGGTGGGAGTTCATAGAGCCCACCATTAAAATTTTCCAACATGAAATAAAACAAATAACCTGTAATTTTGGCGAATAATTCCACCACAATAAATCTGTCATTGACTAAATAGAGTTTCCAGCAGCTATAGGTCAACATTTTTGGCCAATCTTTGCCAATAAATTAAATGCTTCGTAGCTGAACAACTTACAGCGCATAAAACACATATTTTCCATGCATTTCTAGACCATTATATTCCAAGAAAAAAATTCCAGAAACCAATTGAAAATTCCAGCTCAACCTTCTTGGACGTCAAAATTTTTCCAGCACTTCAGTGTTCATAAAACCAATATTTCCTCGGCTAAAATATTGATTTAAGTACTCAAATGCATTATGCAGACACTTAGCTAGCCAATCAATGTTTCTAGTACCAAATAAGGTTCGAATAGCAACCATTGATATCAAAATTTCCCAGAAATTATTCCTGCTTGGCTTGGACGAACATGCATGAAGCAAATTTCTGTTTTCATTTCATTTTCTTGGTTAGCCGAGCTAGTTAACCTCTTGCAAAACCTAATTATCCTGTTATTAGCTAGTTAATCGTAACTATCAACTCAGATTATCACATTTAATTAGATTGAACTGCATTTCCACTCTCCAGCTCTCGGCAATTCCAATTTCCCCAAAACAGATTTTCTCAAGCTTCTAAGTTCATCATCCGAACACACAACCGAGACATGCATGACTTAATCATCTCATTTCCACTTAGTTAAACATAGCTATAAGTTTAGAGCAACAAAATTAAACCAAATAAAACTGCAATTTTCAAGACAAGTTCTCGGCAGAAATTATTCTTTCGCATAACAGATTTTCTTTTCCAAAATCATCATCCTGTCGCCTAAGCTTCACATGCATGGCAATTACTGACTTAATCTACCCTTTAACAACTCATTCCAGTTCAGGAATTACCTCGGTGAAACACTCAGCGCACGCGACAAACGATCTGTCAAAATTTTTTTTTTTCGACTAGCTCGCGGCCTGGAAATTGGTTCTGGTTTTTACTCGTGACGGTGATAGCTGAAAGGTTGCTGTTGGAGGTGGATTGCAGCTGATTGGAATGGAGGTTGAAGAATGAACTCACGCATGACTTCTCCTTTTCTTCCCTCAAGCTTACGGACAGGAGCAGAATGTTGTAGTTTCTCGGTTCCTCTCTCACTCTTCGTCGATGGTTACGAGGTTGAGAGGAAATGAAATGGTGTTGCGGTCTGAGGTGAATTGGTTCAGAGAAATGGAATGGCGGTTTGAGATATGAAATGGAAAGAGAGGTATATGGTTTGCGGTAAGTGATATGAGAAAGGATTGAGTGATATTAAGAAGTATTGTGGTGCCGTGGTTTAAGATGTGAAATGGAGGTAATGGTATAAGGTGCCGCGGTTTTAGGAGCAGAGGTTTCGTGTATTAGAATCGATTGCGTATAGAATTGGTGATAGTTGCGGTAATTGAATTTGCGGTCAGAGGATTGGTTTGGTTTGCATGGAATTGTAAGGGCATTTTAGTCTTTTCACTTTACTCCCTAACCTCAACTTAATTCTAAAAATTATCCCCAAGTGTGATTTAAACGCCTAATTATACCCTAATATACCTAAACCATTTTTATCGAATAATTATCGATTAAACTTGAATATTAAGGTTCCTAGTAATTCCTAACATTATTACCTAATTATTTAAACTATTAAAATCAAGTTTGACCTTAATATATAAATTTAACGTTCTTAATATTCGTTTATCCATTTATATCAAAACTTATTAACTTAATCATTATTAACGCTTAAGATTAGCTATCGGAATTCGAAGAAATTATTTGTTAAATCAATGAAATAATTTACCTTCGAAATATGAATTTAATGAAACAAAACTAGAAATTTAATAGTTTAGCACAATTCTTTTATTTTGCATATAAAATTTATTGGTTTTGGTCTTAACGTGAAAATTCTTATTAGTATTTAACGTTATTCACTAATCAGGATTAATTATTGGAATTCAAGAAATTTTATATAATTAATCTACTCAGGTAGTATTAATTTAACATAATGGAAACTAAGTACTTTAATATTTTATGTTGGGGTGCTAAAATTATTCTAACTCTAAAGGTATTAATTTAGTTTAGCAAAACAAAAGGAATTTCGTAACTTAGAGAAATTATATTATTTTTCACATGAAAATTGTTTTTTACGCACTTATTTACAAACAAGTGAAAGTAATGCTAAAATTTATTAGAGAATTAGAAACGCAAATAAAATATGCAATGTTATTTGTATATATATTTTCAGGGTTCTCACAGTTTTAGCTTCTTCTTGAAGTTCAGCCATAGCTTCGACGTATTTCTTAGCATTTGACTCTTTTCTTCTAAGAAGAAGCATGTTCAAGTACCTTACCTTATGCTCCTCCATCTTTTTCAGTTTAGGCTTACCGCGGTGATAAGGTCCGATGGAGACGACTTGTCGTTCATATGCCATTTCATTTTCACATCGTAGTTTACTGATAAGTGAATATTTAACGTACATTTTGTATGAATTTGGCATTAATTTTTGGTATGTTTTGAGAAGATTAAGCCATATTTGAACTCTTTTGGTGATAATTGCTTAAATATTGATTAAGGTTTCAAAAATTGATAAATGAGTGGATTAATGCGTTAATTTTGTGAAATTGTGAAGGTAATTGATGTATGAAATTCATGCACAAGTTGAAAGAAATGTAAGGGTCATCCAGAGGACAAAGTACACAAGAAATTGGGAGCAAAAATGTAGAAAAAGAGAAGAAGTGAAAAACTGAAAAATTGGTCAACACGGATCCGAGCTCGGATCCGTGTGTACAAGATGGATCCGAACCCTCGTCTGTACTTCTGGCGGAGAGCATCCGAGGTCAGGACGATCCGACCCCGGATCCATTATGAAATCCCTCGGATCCTGAAGATCCGAGCTCGGATCCTTTTTCAACTCTCGGATCCGAGACTCGGATCTGTCTCTCTCCTCAGCAAGTGCCACAGCCGTTTTTCTTTACCTTTTTCACAACTTTCCAGCTATTTTGAGGGACAGAAATCGGTGGCACATGCTTCTGCAACAAAAGAGAAGACCAAATGAGTATGGACAAAAGGAAATATCATATCTTTGACTTCTGTTTACAAAATTTGAGTGGAAGAAATTATGAAGTGGGAGGTGGTAGACTTTCTACCACCTTTTATGCAGAAACACAGGGGAGAAGCAAAAGAAGACCATACGTAGCTAGTTTTCTTTCTGGTATCTAGTTTCTCTCTAGATAGGAGTTCTTGGAGAAGTACTTGGAGTTTTTCACTTGTAATCATATTGTGCAAGAGCATAGCAGGAGTTGGAGAGCTTCACCTTCAATTGGCTAAGCTTTCTTTTATCTTTCTTGTACTTGTACTTCATGATGTTTGGCATTAATAAACTTGTGAGTTTGATTGTTAAATCATTCATGAGTAGCTAAACCCCTTAATCTAGGGAGTAGATGAAACTTATGGCTAAATAATATGAATTGAATATGATTTACACTTGTTATGTCTTGTAGTAACTTGTCTACTTGTGTAGCTATGATTACGTGTTGTTGATTGATCACCAATAGCTTGTTTATAGTTGTTATTGTTCAATGAGAATTGGTAATAACAATGGAAACACATGAGTAGAGCTTAAGTTGTATGTTCATGAAAATAGAAATACACTTAGGTGGATTATTTAGCATTTCATGAAGTAAAATGGAGTAGTAGTAATATTTCACCATGAAAATAGGGAAATCTATATTGCTCTAGGCCATTTCATCATGAAAATGAGATTTGGTAAATTTGGAAATGAATCTCTGGTTAAATAAGAATAATAGCAAGCAGTAAATCCATTCATTTGTATTGTTTATGCCATAAGTAGAATCTACATCCCTAGAATCTTCCTTAAGTGAAATTTCTCTATTTGCATTAATCATTTGTTAAACTAGATTTGTATATCAGATTTGTAGATTACAGCATTAGACTTTCTCTGCTCAATTTAATTGTAAGTCTAAATAATAGAGAAAACAAGAGCTTAGTAATTGTTTAAATTGCTCCTCGTGGGATCGACCCGATACACATCTTGTACTACAATTGCGACCTGTATACTTGCAGTCCAACGGGTGTAAAATCGGAATTGAGCTTGCATTGATATAAAAGTCCCGTCAAGTTTTTGGCGCCGCTGCCGGGGAGCGGCAATATTAGGGCCTAATCATCTCTATTAATTTAGATATTTTCATTTTTTTTATTTATTCAAGTTGTTGAATTTAAGCTGCAAAATTTCTCTTGTTTTTGTTTGTAGTGTATGCACCGATCAAATCGAGAAGTTGCACATTTCGATTCTGAAATTGAAAGAACATTACACAGACAAAGGAGAAGTACATCACATCAAGAGGAACAAGAGGTTTGGCAGCCAATAGAAGATATCTTAATAGAGCTTCCATTTGAAGAAGACATGGCAGAAAACGAATCACATAGGCGAGTTCTACGAGATTTTGCTTTACCGGGAACACAAGGATCTCAAACAAGCATAGCAAGGCCTACGGTAAATGCTAACAATTTTGATATTAAACCAGCGCTTATCCAAATGGTTCAACAATCTCAATTTGGAGGTAATGCAGTAGAAGATCCTAATACATACTTAGCTACCTTCTTGGAAATTTGTGATACAATTAAAATGAATGGAGTTAGTGATGAAGCTATAAGGCTAAGATTGTTCCCATTTTCATTGAGAGATAAGGCCAAACTTTGGCTACACTCTCATGCTCCTAATACTTTCACTGGATGGGATGAGTTATCAAGAGCATTCTTAAATAAGTATTTTCCACCAGGTAAGACTGCTAAGCTTAGGATGGATATCACTAGTTTTAACCAATTAGAAAGTGAATCATTATATGAGACATGGGAAAGGTTTAGAGATTTGCTTCGAAAATGTCCGCATCATGGACTGCTGGAGTGGTTAATCATACAAATCTTCTATAATGGTTTAGTTTTTTCTACTAAAACTATGATTGATGCAGCTGCAGGTGGAGCTTTAATGGGTAAATCATCCCAAAAAGCTCAGAATTTGATAGAAGAAATGGCCGCAAACAACTACCAATGGGCCAATGAGAGAGGTAATACAAGACGTCACGCAGGTATGATAGAAATGGACACTCTCAATATGCTGAGTGCTCAAATGAATAATGTGATGAAGTTGCTAAGTAGACAAAGTGGAGTTAGTTCAAGTTCATCTAATGCACATGTAGCATGTTGTTCTATATGTGGAGGTGAACATGATACTAATGAGTGTGTTGATTCTGAGCAGGTACAATTCGTTAATAATTACAATCGTAATGCTCAAAATAACCCCTACTCGAATACTTACAATCCGGGGTGGAGAAATCATCCAAACTTTGGATGGAAGGATCAAGGAAATCAACAAAGGCCAGCCAATCCACCGGGATTTCAATCAAGGCAACAACAAGTTGAAACTAAACCTGGTTGGAAAATGGCAGTGGAAAAACTCGCAAAAGTTACTTCAGACAGATTTGAGCGAGTAGAAGGAAGATTGGACCAACTCACTACAATGTACAGGAATGTAGAGGTCCAAATTGGTCAAATTGCTAGTTCGTTGAATAATCGAAATCAAGGCGAATTACCTAGCAAAACAGAGGTCAATCCTAAGGAGCATGTAAAAGCCATTACTCTTCGTAGTGGTAAGCAATTAGAAGATCCACCAGTGATGGAAGTTGAGAAAGATGAGAATGAAAAACAAGAAGAAAAGCAGAGGAACCAAGAGGCGATAGTAGAAGAAAATAGCCGGGAGAAACCAAGAGAAAATCAATCATCATCTTCCGCTACCATTCCAATGCCTCCTGCGGTTCCATTTCCACAAAGATTAAAGCAGAATAAGTTTGATAGGGATTTTGAAAAATTTGTTAAACTTTTCAAACAATTGCACATTAACATTCCTTTTGCCGATGCTATTTTGCAGATTCCATCTTATGCAAAGTTTCTCAAGGAAATCATGACTAGAAAAAGGAAGTTGGAAGACTGCGAAACAATAGCATTAACTGAGGAGTATAGTGCAATTATACAAAATAAGCTACCACCGAAATTGAAGGATCCTGGAAGTTTCTCTATACCTTGCACCATAAGTAACATTGATTTCTCTAAAGCATTGTGTGATCTTGGTGCTAGTGCATCATTGATTCCTCTAACGGTGGCTAGACAATTGGGTTTGAAGGAGCTTAAAAGCACTAATATTACTTTGCAACTAGCGGACAGGTCTATTAGATATCCACTGGGAGTTTTAGAAAATGTATTGATAAAAGTTCAAAAATTTATCATTCCA